GATCCCACCGAGGGCTTTTCCTTTCTTGGGAAAAAGGAGATTTTGCCCCCAGGGCAGCCGTGGCAGCTCTCAGATACCAGCGGTGTCGAAACGGGCCCAGAGCAAAGCACATCTGGGGCCTGGGCTCCGTCTCGCTGCCAAAATTTAAGCTTTTAACCCTCTTTCCCGAGGCACTGGGATTGTTCAAACAAGCCACAGTAATTAGTTTCCTCTGACAAACCGCCCCTTTTTGGCATCGGGACGTTTATTAATTCCGGGGGGGGCGGGAGCGTCGCTCCGGATCCAAAAATAATTGACATTCACAGTCCAGGTTTTGGCACGAGAGGGAAAATTTGGGCTGGAAAAGCAGAATCAGGAGTGCAGGAGATTGGCACAGCAGCACCCAAAGGCGCCCAGCTGTGGGTGGGGGGTCCTTGGCTGGTGTTATCCCTGATTTCCTCCTTGGCCGCATAAACCATCCCGGGCTGGGTGGGATTTCAAGCGATATAATTTGATTTTCTCTGTCCTTCAGCAAACGGGATCCGTCTGGGAGAGTTTTCCTGCAGACTTCCCCGCCTCATTCCCCGTTTCGGTGTTTCTTCACCTCGAGCCACGCTCCGCTCCCGCTGCGGCGCCGGGCAATACCCCGGGGGATTATATCAGTAATTGATCTCTAATTACTCACCTCTTCCCGTGAAGGGCGGCTCTTGCTGCTGCTTAGACCTGACGGAATCGGCTTAGGGAGGTTTTTGGGTTGCGGCAGCCGCGGTGACCTTGGCGGGGCTGTCACACCTTGCCGGGGACCGCGGGGACACTGGGCTGGGACCGCAAACCGGGACCACAAGCTCAGAGCACACCGCCCATGCCCACCCCACAACGACTTTTAAATGCTTTTCTTGCTTTTTAGCTGGAAAGGGAATAAATATCCCCGAAAAGTGCAGGGTGTGATGATGTTTTGCAGGGCTGGGGGTGTCGGATCTCGGCCAGGGGTCCCCAGGCTCTGCGCTGACACCCCCGGGTGTCCCCGAGCCGGGCTGGGTGACACCGCAGGGAGCTGCGCTGCATCAAACCACGCTTTTATTTCCTGCTGATTTATATTGCAGCTGCATTCCCAGCCTCCGGCGTGTCCCGGGGACGGGCACGGCGGGGAACCGAGGGAAGCCGAGGCTGGAGGGCGAGCAGCATCAGTATTTGCCCTTGCAGGGATGAGCTGAGCCCAGGCGGGGCTGAGCTGGGACTGAACTGGTCCCAGACTGGTCCCAGCAGGGGGACGCGGCTCCGCATCCAGCGGGATCCCTCCCCGCTGCGGATCCCGCTAATTAATGACATGAAAGCCCACGCGAGACCTCCGGGGAAGGAATCAAAGGCTCCGCCGCAGCTTCCCAGGGCATGGATTTATCCCTCCGGCCCGGCGGCTTCCCCGCATCCCAGCGCCGTGCCGGGGCCCGATGGAGGGAGCGGGGACCCCGCGGGACACGGTGAGACGGGTCAGCACCGCCCCGGGGTCTGTCCCGGGGGTTCCGTGCGGAAATCCAGCCCCGAAATGGGTCTGGGTGGAGCTCCTGGGGGTGGGGAGGGACGGGAGGGGTCGCGGCCGCGGGGACTCTGGGCTGGGGCCGCCGGAGCCGCTCTGGTGTCGGGATTTCCATCCCGGGGGATTTGGATTCTGGATGCTGTTCCTGCCTCGCAGGGATGGCTCAAGGTGCCCCTTGGCCCTGGCACAAATTGGGATTTTCCTCCCCTGTGCTCCTTTCCCTCCTGGAAGAGCTCCCGGAGCCCTCTCTGGCAGGATTTGTTCTGTTCCCATCGGCACCGTGGGCTTTGGGAACATGGGACAGGTCATCTCCTCCTCACTGCGGGCTGGGGGGGCTCTGGGGAGTCCTGTGCCTGCTCATTCCCAAAAATTATTCCCTTCGGTGTCCGGGATGTGGATATGGAGCGGATGGACGGCTCAGAATCCCGAAATTCCTGCCTGGTCCTGGTGCCTCCTCCAGTGCTCAGCCCTTTGAGCTGGGTTGGCTCTGCCAAATCCAAAATGAGGGAAAATTCCAACCGGGTTGGAACAGCCTGGGACAGTGGAAGGTGTGGAAGGTGTGGAAGGGTGGAAGGTGTGGAAGGTGTGGAAGGTGTGGAAGGTGTGGAAGGTGTTTAAGGTTCCTCCAACCCAAACCAGTCTGGGATTCCGTGATTCTGTGGAATGGTGGGAATTTGGATGAGGCTGCAGCAAGAGCTGCTCCATTGGATGGAAACTCCCCAGGCTTCCTTCTCCAACCACGACTTGGCCACCACCCCCAGCATCGCCCCCGGCACCACAGGGCGCCCTTGGCTGGTCCTTCCACATCCCACAGCCTCGGTGGGGAGGCTTTTCCTTATTATTTCCACCTTGGGGAAGGGGTTGGGGTGGGTTATTTTGCTCTCCAGCTGTTTGGAGAGATGTAAACCAAACCTGCCGTAATTCAGCCTGAACATAAATGTCATGGCAGCGTGGGAACGAGGGCGCTCGGCGTGTTCAGCCCGGGGGCTCCGGGAATGCTGGAGCTCCTCCTGCCACACATCATCCAACCTCCTCCTCCCAATCCCATCTCCCACTCCACCATCCCGCCTCCTCTCTATCCCATCTCCTCTCCCCATCCCATTCCCTCTCCCCATCCCATGTCTCCATCTCGGTTTCCCTCACTGGGCTCACACCCAGGAGTGTCCCAGAGCTTTCCCAGGGGAGCAGGGCTGATCCCAGGGCTGCGGCTCTGCCTGGTTTGTGGTCGGTGCTTTGGGAGGGCTCTGGGGGAGCTGGGGCAGAGCTCTGGAGCTGCTGGTGTCGGGCTGGGTTTCACCGAGGCGAAGCAGAACCGCGTGTCCCCCGCTCCGCTCTGGTTCTGCGCTCGGGGGAGTGGGAAGAGCTGGAGGAGGAGGAGGAGCAGGATGAGCTGCGGATGCGCCGTGGCCACTGCCGGGTTTGGCATTCAGAGCTCAAGGCTGTGCCAGTGCCGGGATCAGCTGTCCCCTGTCCCCAGCCAAGGAGATGGTGGCACTCCCTGTCCCCAAAGCAGAGCTGGAGATGGGGACATGGACATTTCCCCATCCTTTGTGCACCCACTCCATCAAAAGAGCAGGAAAACCCAACGGGTCCACCCAGAGCAGGGTCTGGGGCTTTTTTTCCCTTTCATTGCTCCCTGTTTTGGGGCCAGTTTTGGCATTTTGGGTCCAGTTTGGTCCAGGGGCACTGAAGACTCCAGGTCCTGCAAGGGCAGCAACTCTGGCCAGGAGTGTTGGACACAGCCGTGCTTGTTGGGAAGGTTAATCCCCAGGAAAGTATTTCGGGAGCTTGTGATAAGTTTTGGGGAAGGTCTGAGGTAATTTTTGGGAAGGTCTGAAGAAGTTTTGGGGAAAATCTGAATGAATTTTGAGGAAAATCTGAAGGAGTTTTGGGGGTAGTCTGGGGAAGTTTTGGGGGAAGATCTGAAGGAGTTTTGAGGATAGTTTGAGGAAGTTTTTTTGGGAAATCTGAAGGAGTTTTTCCTATGGTCTGAGGCAGTTTTGGGGAAGATGTGAGGCAGTTTTGGGAACAGCCTGTCTCTCCACCACCCCCATCCTCTCCAGGACAACCCAGCCCCATCCTGGGAGCAGGACCAGGCGTTGAGCCGGAGCTGCTGCTGGAGGAGCAGCTCCGGAGCTGCTGCCCATGGAAATTGTTTAATTCCTGCGGGATGAGTCATGAGGAGCCGGGATTTCAAAGCAGCTTGGCTCCCATGTAAGGCACTCAAATAAACAGTGTGTGGCAGGTGGAAGCTCTCTCTGATGTCCCGTCAAGGTCTCCGTCTTTCCAAGTATTTTGTGTTGCCAAAAATCCTTTGGCCACACCGTGGCTTCATCCATTCTTGAGGCTGGGCTCTGGAAAATAATGAATCAATGCCCGGAAACATGAATCGACGGAAAATTTATGGCACACTTAGAATATAATGTCTTTTGGGTCCTCTGCTTTGAAGCATCAGCACTGAAAGTTTTGGCATCTCCTTTCTTTCAACCCTTCAGCGAGGAGGATTTAAGGGAAAAAAATAATAAATTCACTTTTCTCCCTCATCTCATGACTCTGGGAGCTTTAAGGAGTCGGTGGATATTGGAAACAAATCCCAAGAGTCTGCTGGAAAAACTGGGAGTGGGGTTGAAAAACAAGGGCGATGGGAAAAAGTGAGAGTGTGAAAAGTGAGGGACGCCAGAGAACCCCAAATGCTTCACTTTTCATGGGCAAAAAAAATGTCTGTGGGGATGGATTTGCTGGATTTTGATTTATCAGGAAAAACAAGTGGAAACGGCGACATCCCTGGAAGTGTCCAAGGCCAGGTTGGACAGGGCTGGCCTGGGGCATTTTAGAGCAAAAGAAACCAACTGCAAAGCCTGGAATAACTCTGTTGTTATTGTTTTGCACACTGGAGCTGGGATTTGAGTCTTTTGAAAGGTCACAGGCGAGTGGGTGGGGGCCAGGATTTCTGGCTGCCGGAATGGGAGGTTTTTTATGGGACGTGCAGCGAGGCTGGAACCACTCTCCTAAAATTTTATGGGCCTGCAAGAAGCCAGAGGCCCTTTCCCAGGTGGTGGGATCGAGTGTCACAGCCCTGCTCCAGCCTTTTCCTCCCCGGAGCAGGACAGAGGGGGCTGAGCCCCCCTGGGGGATGGAGGTTCAGCTCAGGGGTTTGTGTGATCCCACTGCTGATTGTTCACCATGGAATTCATCTCCCAAAATACCCAACAGCGGCTCTTAAAACTGTTTGTCCTCCTGGAGAGCAGAACAAAGTGTCCTTTCTCCCCCTAAACCCATCCCTGGGGCTGCTGGTTCTTCACAAATCCTTCTTTTCCACAGATTTTGTCCCGGAGCAGGTTGGGGTTTTCTTGGTCCTGAACCAATCCTGCTGGGAAGGGTTTGGGTCCTGAACCTTCGGTGCCGGGAAGGGCGGAGCTGGAGCCGAGGGGATCCCATGGGAATCATCCCCCATTCCCGAGCTGTGGGGAGGGAGGGGAGGGGCTCGGGGGGCCGGGGGCGCGCATTAAGGATGTTTGTTTTGCCTGTTTTGCAGAGTTTCAATGTTCTGACTTGCTCTAAGATGAAGGTATGGAAGTTTGCAGCCATTGCATCGATGCTCCTCAGTTCCATGTTATCCATTTTAGTTTGTAGAGACATGTTCAGCGGAAGCCGGGAATTCAGCCCCTTGCCTTCCTCGCCGTCTTCCTCACGGGATTCCTCCTCCTCCTCCTTTTCTTCCTCCTCCTCCTCCTCCTCCTCCTCCTTGCTGCCAGCGGCTCCACGGAGATCCCCACGGGCCCTGCCACGCCACGGCTCCCTGCTGGCCCAGTGTAAGCTCCTGCTCCTCCACCCCGGGGGTCACTGTCCCCTGCCAGCCCCACAGATCCCCCCAAATCCCCGTGGGGTCATTCCCTGCCCTCCCTGCATCCAAACATCCCCTCCAGGAGGCTTTCAACAACAACTTGGGGCACCAAACGTTGGTGTGAACTCAGCAGCTCTCCATGGAGGGGAACTCAGACAGCTCATTTACTGCTTTTATCCCTCTCCAAATTTTTTTTTGGTAATTTTTAAATATTTTTTTTTAGTTCCGTGCTATTTTTTACAAATGGAAAATGTCAAACGGGAGCTGAAGGTGAGGGCACGGCAGCAGCTCCCCCGCTCACCCCTCGGTGCTCCCTGAGGGCTGGAAATCCCAACGTGTTTGTTTTGATTCCAAACCAGAGGAACTGCTTTTTTTGGGTGGAAATCTGGAAATCGATGACAAGCTGTCAAATCTTTCCTCTGTCTTTCCTGTGCCTCCTGCAGAGCTGAGCTGGAATAACCCTGGATTTAGGGTTGGGATGAAGGGATGTGGGAGTTGCCAGCAGTGCCTGGGCACAGTTTGTGTGTTGGCTGCTGGCCCTGGGGTCTCAGGGGCAGCCCTTGGGGCTCCCAGGCCCTACTGAAACTGAAAATACGAAATTTATTGGTGCTTCTCCCCAAATCCACCTGCCCCAAGGGACCTCCATCCTAGGGGACGTTCACCCACTCCAGGGAATTTTCATTCTGGGCGATGTCCTCCCACCTCAGGGAATTTCCGTCCTGGGGATCACCCTTAAGGCACCTCCGTCCTGGAGGATCCCGAGATCCTCATCCATGGAGGATCTCCCATCTCAGGCCACCTCCACCCACCCCAGTAACCCCCACCCGCCGGGGGGACACCCCCTAACCCCGCTCCCTCCTCTTGCAGACAGCGCCTTGCTGGAGAGCTACACGGAGGGCGAGATCCGGCAGCTGGTGTCGGCACTGGTGGAGCGCTACCGCCAGGCCATGAACTCGGGCGGGCACGAGCTGCCGCTGTTCCCTCGCTCCGGCAGCCGCAGGAAACGCGCCCGCGCCCGCCATAAACCCTGCGAGCTGCGCGAGCTGGAGGTCAGCGTCAGCGAGCTGGGCCTGGGCTACGAGTCGGACGAGACGGTTCTGTTCCGCTACTGCAGCGGCACCTGCGAGGCCGCCGTGCGCAGCTACGACCTCTCCCTCAAGAGCATGAGGAGCCGCAGAAAGATCCGGAAGGAGAAGATCCGCGCCCGGCCGTGCTGCAGGCCGCTGGCCTACGACGACGACGTGTCCTTCCTGGACGCCTACAACCGCTACTACACCGTCAACGAGCTGTCGGCCAAGGAGTGCGGCTGCGTGTGAGCCGGGCAGAGGGACGGGCACGGAGGCTGGAGCGGCCGGAGGAGGAGAGACTGAGCCGCCGGCGCGTCCCTCGGTGTCACCGCGCCGCGCAGGACCAGACACGAGGCCGCTGCCGTGGCGGGGGCGCTCGGGGCGGTGATGGCTGCTCGGGGCTGTTGTCCCCTCTGCGGGCGGCCCTGCTGAGGGGACAGCGGGTGTGCCACGTGCACGAGGCATGGCCGGGCCTCGGCGTGCACTGCCCGCGCTGGGTGCCACACGGGCCACACGTGTCACACGTGTCACGGGCTACAGGGCGTGGTGCAGCGCAGGTGTCTCTGGCATGGGGGGACCCGCAGGTGCCGCGGGTTCTGTGTCAGGGGGTGGCACGCACCGGGGGTGTGGTGAGCAGTGCTGGTGCTGTGCGGGACTGGAGAGGGTGTCCTGCACACCTGAGGTGTGTTTTGGGGTGTCCTGCACACTCGGGATGTGTTTTGGGGTGTCCTGCACACCTGAGGTGTGTTTTGGGGTGTCCTGCACACTTGGGATGTGTTTTGGGGTGTCCTGCACACCTGAGGTGTGTTTTGGGATGCATTACAGGTTCAGGGTGTGTCAGGTGCCCTGTGCTGCCCCAGGGTGGGAGCTGAGTCCTTCTCTCTGTAGCTTTGGGGTTTTGTGACCACCCTGTGTTGCTGGGGGAGGTCCAACCTCCCCAGATCCCGGTGTTTGGGGACACAGAAACACCGGCAGCGGTTTGTGCGTGGCTCTGACTCCCTCTGGCTTGTGCTCCTTTTGCCATCGTCTCATTCCTGCAGCCCTGGGGCTTTTCTTCTTAAAACTCGGGATAATCTGAAGTAACTGGATTAACCTCGGGTGCCCCCGCCACGGGCAGCTGGGCCCGAGCCCGGCCACTGCCAGGGAGGTGACGGCACTTGGCGGCGTGGGCAGGAGCACCCCGGATTTGGCGTCTCCCAGATCCCACCCGGCTCTCCCGGGAGCATCTCCCATCCCCTGGAATCCTGCGGGAGAGGGGACTCGGTCCTGGCTTTGGCTCCACTCACATTTACAGCGGTGTCACCGCTGTTTACTCTGCGGGGAAATAAATGAGCCCGCAGACTTTCACATTCCCTGGGCAGGCTCGGTTTGTTGCCTGGGATTGATGGGTTTTCTCCCTTTGGCTCCTTTCCCAGAAAGAGCAAATCATAAACAGAAGGAGAATATTGGTGTCACGTCCTGGGCATTAACCAGCGGGAGGGAAAACACTCCCTGTGCCACCCCCCCGGACCTGGCTCCTCTGCCCGGTGAAACGGGGGGAAAAAAATCCCTGGTGCCTTCATCCCGAGGAGGAGGAGGAGGAGGAGGAGGAGGAGGAGGAGGAGGAGGAGGAGGAGGGCTGCTGGTTGTGATCCCAGCACAGGGATGGTGCTGCAGGGTTTGAGGGAGCAGGATGGCATCCCTTGGGATGGGATGGGGTGGGATGGGATGATGCAGGGTCGGACCAGCCGCATTCCCGACCTCCACACAGGGCCAGGATGGTGCGGAGGGGTTTTTTTTCCCCCTTTTTATCCAAAAGCAGCTCTTGGCTGAGCAGAGCCAGGGTGTAGTGGAGGAATATAAACACCATCCTTCAGCGGGGCTGGCAGCCCGGGAAGGCAGCCTGGACTCTGTAACACGGAGTTTTCCCTGGATTTCGGGAAAGGCAGGAGGCAGCCGCGGGTGTGGGGTGTGAAACCTTCCCCCGGGAAATGGGAACCGAGAGCGGATAAACTCCCCTCTGCAGGTGCAGCTCCCCAGCCAAGCTGTGAGTCTGCAGCCCTGGTTTTGGCTGGAAATGGGAAAAGTGGCCCCAAATAATCAGCTGGAGGATGGGAAAGGCAGATGGGCAGCGGGAGCAGCGCCGGGCTCGCCGTGGATAAACGGCTCGCTCCAGTTAAAGAAAAAAAAAGGCACCCAAATCTAATAATAATAATGATAATAATAATAATAACTGTCCTCTCAAGGGCTTGGGTGCTTTCCAGGTCTCGCTGCTATAAAACTAAAATTAGTTTTGTTGCAGTAAAAGAAAGGAATGGAAGCAGAGCGGGGAAGGTGTTGTGGAAGCAGAGCAGGACCAGGTGTCTCAGAGGAGGATTTGGAGCAGGAGCTGCCTCTGCTCACCGGGAGAGGTTGGAGCGTTTGCAGCCTGGTTTGGGACGTTTTTTGGCAGAATCCAGGGATTTAGGGTGCCTTGATGGTGGGCACCCGGCCCAAGGGACCCTCCTCTCACCAGGGTGGTGGTGGGAGCAGCAGAGATGAGGGGACAAGGGAGCAGCAGGGCTGGGACATCTCCCAAACTCCCCATTCCCAGTGCAAATCCAACCTGGAGCCCCCAAAACCGGGAGGAAAACCTGACTCAATGCAATGATGTGTTAAAAGCAGCAGGAATAGCTCCAGTCCATCATTTTGAGCTCTTTTTTCTTTAATTTCCCCCTGCTGGCAGTGCAGCTCTGGCCCGTGTGGAGGGGATATTCCCCATCTGCCTCACGCTGGTTTTTTTTGGGAACAGCTGGGATTTGCAGCCACAAAACTCCCCTGGATGGGGTGAGCTGGGGCACGGTGCTGTGGCCAAAAGGATGGATTCTGCTTCCATGTCCTTTCCAGGGCTCCTCCAGCTCCTCCAGCTTTCCCAGTGCCATCCCGCTGCCCTGGAAATGTGGTTTCAATAGAAAGGCTGAGCTTTCCCTAATGCTTTCCATTTCTCCAGCCCCCTCTGCTGTAATAGGAGCTGGAGCTGTCCGGAAAAATGTCTACAATGCAAAAGAAAAAATTGGAAAATTCCCTCCCCAAAGCCAGAGCAGGATCTCATCTGGCTCCTGCCTCAGCATCCCATGTGCTGGTTAATATCGGTATTAATATTAATATTAATAATAATAACCAGTGTAACAGCTCTTGAGGGATTTGGGGGTTGCTCCCAGGGTCTCGCTCCCAATTTGGGATCCACAGGAAGGGAATGGATCCAACAATCCTTGTTTCCACTCGATGGAAGAGCCCACAGAGAGAATGTTCTGGGTTTGAACAGCTCCAGAATCCTGCTGGGGAGGAAGGATTTTCCCAATTTATCAAGAGAAATGATATTTTGGTGGGATTGAAGGCCTCAGCTTTCTGCCCGTTGTAAATTGGCTGCCACGTGTTTTCCTTCTGGGCTAAACAAAGCGTGGCCTCGAAGGGGAGGCCCAAGAGGAGGGGGGAGAAAAGGGGGAAAGGGGGAAAGAAATAAAAGAAAAAGGAAAAAAAAGTTGGGGGGGAGAGAAGAGGAAAAAGGGGAAAATTAAAAAAGGGAGAAAGGTAAAGGGGGGGGAGAAAAAAGAAAAAAAAAAGGGGGAAAGGGGGAAAAAAGGGGGGAAGGGAAAAAAGGAATTAAAATGAAAAGGTGGAAATGGGGGAAGAAGAGCAGGTAAAAAGGGAAAGAGGGAAAAAGAGAAAAAGGGCAAAAAGTAAAAATAGTAAAGGAAAAAAAGGGGGAAAGGGTAGAAAAGAAATAAAAAGAAAAGAAGGGAAAAGAGGGTAAAGAGAAAAGGGAAAAAATGAAAAGGGATAAAAGGGGAAAAATGAGAAAAGATGAAAAGAGAAAAAAGGGAATAAAAGGAAAAGGGGGAAAAGGAAAAAAGGGAAAAATAAAAAAGGGGAAAATGAAAAAAGGGAAAAAAGGAAAAAAGGAGAAAAAGAAAAAAAGGGGGAAAAGGAAAAATAAAAAAAGGTAGAAAAGGGGAAAAGGGATTCCTGTTCCAGCACCACCGGCACCACCCGGATTATCCCGTCCCCCTCCGGAATCGCCGGGCCCGTGCCCGGCTGCAGAAGTGGATGCAATGCATCTGTATTTTGGATACTGCTATTTATTGGAAGTAACTTATGTTATTTATTTAGATCCCAAAGCGCCGCCTCCCAAACGCCTCCTGCGCTCGCTCCTTTTTTTATGTTATTTATTGACCCTGACGGTGCCAAGTGGAGTTTACATTTATTACATTTGTACCATTTATCATGAACCTTGAGGGGGGAAATAAAATCAAATGAGATAAAATAAAACAAAATAAAATGGTTTTTGATATTTTATTTTTTTTTTTAAACAGACCTGAACTCGGGTGTGATCTGTTCCATCCTAAAGTGGGAATTAAATGAAGGATTTTATGGATTTCTCCTCTATCACCATGGTTGGTGATGGTCAGTTCCTGCCATGGGAGTGGGGATGGCCAAGGAAAACGGGAATTTGGGTTTTTGGGAGGAAAGAGTCAGAAATAATCAACTTTGACCCTTCTGGGAATGGAACTTCCAACTGGGTTGGCTCAAAAATGTGAAAATTCTGAGTAAATCACATGAAATGGGAAGGGAAAGGGAAAGGGCAAGGGAAAGGGAAAGGGCAAGGGAAAGGGAAAGGGCAAGGGAAAGGGAAAGGGCAAGGGAAAGGGAAAGGGCAAGGGAAAGGGAAAGGGCAAGGGAAAGGGAAAGGGCAAGGGAAAGGGAAAGGGCAAGGGAAAGGGAAAGGGCAAGGGAAAGGGAAAGGGCAAGGGAAAGGGAAAGGGCAAGGGAAAGGGAAAGGGCAAGGGAAAGGGAAAGGGAAAGGGAAAGGGAATAATCTCTGTCCATTAACACCACCAGTCCCAGCCCAGTCTGGCAAGAAAAACAGAATTTATTTTGATTTTCACTCCAAAATAGCTTCAAACCTGGCACTGGAAAATGGAGAACAATGGGAGGGGGAAGAGAGAGGAAAGAAAAAAAAAAGATAAAAGGTTTATAGGATTTTTTTTGGGAATGGAAAAAAAGGTCTGTTTATATTCCCCCCTCATGCCACCCAGAGGCCTGACAGCCATGGCCGAGTCAAACATTCCCGCTCCGAGCTCTGCTTTGTAAATATTTTAGGAAGAATCTTTGGAGAGCCATAAATCTCCCCCTGTGCACGTGCACGGCGTGTGCGCGCTCCAGAAAAACCCACGGAAAACCCAAATCCCAGCCCATCCCACGTTCAATAAATAAAGATAAAAAATGGACAA